GAGCCTTCAAGAGGTGGGGCCTGGCGGGCGGAAGTGAGGTCACGGGGGGCGTGGCCTTGCGTGGGGGGGGGTGGGGAAGATTGACAACCCAGTCTCCTCTCCTTTGTCTCTCTCCTTCCTGGCCGCCATGGTGTGAGCAGGTGGCTTATGTGATGCTGTCCCTCGCCAGAGACCACAGCGGTGACTTTGCAGACTGACGTGATCTCTGAGGACCTTTGGGGACACCCTTGCCCTCCTGTTCAACCCCAAAGAAGACTTCTTTTCCCCTGGCACTGGTGTGCAGGTGTTTGTGTCACCGATGGTGACGACCGGTGTTGAGGACCTGACCCCCCATTCCTTGTCCTGCCCTGAAAAAGTGAAAAAAGCCCCCTTTGTGAATCTGCTCGGGTCTCAAGGTTCACAGGTTCCAGGACGAATCTGCCTTTCTCCATTTCCCCGAAAACACGCTGGGAAGCTGACGTCGCAATGCAAAGCAATTCTGCAGCTCTCCTGGGACCCACGAGACCTCTGGGGAAAACAAAATTATTTTGTACATTTTTTTTGCTGTTAAGAGACAAAGAATTAGAGAGAGGGCAAGGTCAGAAGCGCGCGGCTCGGTTGTGCAGGAAGACAGAAAGTCAAAGGCAGGTTGGCTCCTGATTTCTGGCTGCGTCTTAAGAAAAAAGGAAAAAAGAAAACATCAATAATCTAACCCCATATCGAATAACCCGCAGGATCGGTATCGGCCTGGGCCTCGGATCTTGAGCCTCCCTCCGTCTGCCTCCTGGGCAGCTGGGATTACAGGGGTGAGCGACAGCTCCCGGCCCGGGTTTTTCTAGAAAGGGTCAACTCCTCAGAGAGGACTCGAGTCCACTCTGGAATGAGATTTTTGCCGGGCGTTCTGGGGTTCAGTCCCCGGAATGTTGGGGTTCTCTTTGTTTCATAACGAGGGATTTTTCCTCCCGCCATCTTTTCCTGCTGTCCCTCCTCCCTTCTCTCTCTCTCTCTCTCTCTCTCTCTCTCTCTCTGTGTCTCATCTCTGTGCATCCCTACCTCCCTCCTTCCTTGTCTCCCTCTTCTCCTTTTTCTCTCCTGCATACCATGACACCTTGGCCTCTTCTCCCCTCCCCCCATCAGCCTCTTGACCTTTCACCTCTTTCTTCGCTCTCCTTTCCCAGCCCCCTGTTTTCCCATGATTCTCGGCCCGCAGCTGGGGAGGGGGGAGGGGTGACAGGTGGGGGGGACACCCGGGCCGGGCCACCGCACCCTCTCCACTGGGGTCCCCATCCCCTGTGCGTCGGGCGGATGACGTCATGCAGTCATGTCGTAGCCACACCGCCCATGTGACCTCACGCTTAGGACATTGCCAGCATGACGTCATGCTGTCATTATTAAGCGGTATGTGACCGTGTGCAGAAAGTCAGACACATGGCGCTCGGAAGAAGAAATCAAGACAACAGACATGGATAGGATGAAGAAGAAAACCCAACAAATCAGGGTCTGGTTGTCACCCGTCACCCCAGTTCCTCGAGAGGCAAAAATCAGGAGGCCCACAGTTGGAGTCCAGGCAGCTTGGGGCAGCAAGTCGGCGAGACCCCATCTCCACTGAGAAGCAGGGTGGGGTGGCACCCGGCTATAATCCCTGCTACGCAGAAACCGTTACACGAGAGGATTGTTGGCCATGGCCAGGTCTGGGCAAAAACATGAGACCCCCATCTGAAAAAAAACCCAAAAAATAAAGAGCTGGGGAGAGGGGGTCAAGCCACAGAACACTGGCTCAGGAACTGTAAGGCCCTGAGTTCAAATCCTACCACCACTCCCCCCACCCACCCGAAATTGGAGCCACAAGTAAAATAAAAATTTGTCCCTCGTGCTCTCCAGGAGATTTTAAATGACATATTTTTGGTGGGGTTTGGTGACAGCCGCACCCCACTTTGGAGACAGAAGAGCAGAGACAGGCCTGCACCTGGCCCTATTGTTTTCCTGGCCTCACCATGAAACCCCAAAACAGATTTAGAAACCCGTGACACAGCCACCACCCACGTCGCCGTCACAGCTGCTGGAAAAACCACAAAAGGCCAGAGGGAAACGGAGAGAGGAAGCCTTGCGGCCCACAATTGTCACAAATTGTCCCACCGCCGGGACCGGCCCCGAGGGACGACCCCACAGCCAAATGGGGTGACAGGAGAACGTTGGCGACGACGTCTTGTTCTTTCTCTGAGTCATTCCCTCCGGCGGGTGGCCATCTTGTGACAAGTTTCCAAGTCCCCCTTTCCTTTCCCTCCCCCTAGGGAGTCCTAAGTCTGGAACCCCTGCTAGGAAGGCGGTCAGTCTGTCTGTCCTGGTGAGGCCCCCGGGGATGATCAAAAGCCCCTTTCCTGCCTTTGTGACCCAAGTCCTAAGCCATGGACTGGACTCCAGGGGCTCCCGGTGGCAGGTCCGGCCAGCGCGGCTGTGTATAGGACAGGTATGGGGTGAAGGAGCGTGGGGCGGTGATGGAAAGTGCAAAATGAGCTCTTCCGGCCATTGTCGGGGCACAGGCGGGGATTTGGGGTTCAACTGGGAAAGGATTGGGGTCGGGGTGAGGCCCTGGGAGAAGGGGGTGACAGCGGAGGAGGGGTGGGCACCAGTCTGATGTGTCAGTCACTCCTGTGCTGCCTGGATCCTAAGGTGACCGCAAGGTGACAGCGGCCAAAGGGACACAGCCACCTGGGGCTACTCTGCTTAGGGCTGCCCTGGGGACATTTGCAGACGCAAAGGAATCTTTGGGTCACCACCCTGCCATCTTGGTTGGTTGGTTGGTTGGTTGGCTTTCGGGGTGCAAGGCGGGGCTTTTTGGGACACCCTGGAGCCAGGCTTTGGGGTCACTTCTGGTAACACCTGGTCATGGTGAGGTCTCGGAGGGGGGTCTCTGCAGTCCCTAATGGGGTGTCACAGGTGGGGTGAAGGTGCAAGCAGGGACGTGCATTGGAGCTTGGGGTCTGTATTCTGGGTGGGGACCCCAAATCCCTGGAGGGGACCCAGTGTGTGTATGTGGGGTCTGTGGTGACTGCAGGGTCCCTGGGGGGCCCTGGCAGGAGGTGGCATCATTAAAGGGGCCGGTCCAGGTGGGGAGGTCTGCAATCCCCCTGTGGGGTCACGAGCAGGGTCCACCTGTGGGTTTGGGTCTGGGTTGGGGGTCCACTGTCCCAGTGGGGTTCATGATGGATTTGTGGGGGTCCCAAGGGGCTCCTGTGCTCCAGCGGCAGTCTGCCTTCCTGGTGGGGTGTGAAAGGGTGGGCCCGGGTGTGGGTTTTGGGGGGTCTTTTGTCTGGGTAGGATTTGGGGTTCATGTCTGAGTCCCTGAAGTGTACTGTGGAGAAGTTGGGGGTCTGGGTGGGAGGCCTGCTGTCTGGGAGGGGTTTGGGGCGCAGTCTGAGGTTCCTTAATGTGGGGTGCAGATCTGAGGTCTAGGAGGGGGTGTGGCTGGGGCTTTGGGTCTTGGTGAGGTTTGGGGTGCAGGACTGAGGTCTGGGTGGGATTCTGGGTGGGACGGGGGTTTGGTTTTGTTTTCCCCATGGGGTGCTGGGATCCAGTTGGGGTCCGGGGTAGAGTTGGGGTGTGGGTGGGGGAATCTGCTGTCCTGGCTGGGGTGCAGGGTGCAGATCTGGGGTCCTCATGGGGCTGTGTGTCCCAGGTAATGGTCCAGAGTGGTGGGGGAGGTGTAAGTCTGAGTCCTGTGTGTGTGGGGGGGTCTGGGTAGAGTGTGGGGTGCAGTTCCGGGGTCCCCATGGGGCTCTGTGGCACAGGTAGGGGTAGGGGTGACCTGTGGGGTGCAGGGCTAAGGTCTGGGTAGGACTCTGGGTGGGGTGCAGGGTACAAGGTCTGGGGTCATTGTGTGACCCGGTAGGGATATGGGGTGCAGGTTTGAGGTCTGGGGTGCGGGTCCAGATCCAGGTGGTGTGCAGATCTCAGGAGCGTGCACTTAGGATGGGGATGCAGGTCCGAGTTCGGGGCCAGGTTCAGCCGCTGGGGGCGTGGCCAGGTTCCTGGAAGGGGCGTGTCCTAGCGCTTGGGGGCGTGGCCGGGGTTCGGCTTGGGGCGGAGCCGAGCGCTGGGGAGCATGTCCGGGTACGGGGGGGGCGTGGCCGGGCGCTGGGTGGGGCGTATCCTCTGCGGGGGCGTGTCCTAGGCGGGGGACGTGGTCATTGGTGGTGGTGGGGCGGGGCCGAGCGCTGCGTGGGGCGTGTCCGGAGAGGGGGCGTGGCTTAGCTCTTGGGGGCGTGGCCGGGCTTCTGAATAGGGAGGGGCCGAGCGCTGGGGAGCGTGTCCGGGCCCTGGGGGCGTGCCCTAGCGCTTGGGGGCGTGGCCGAGCGCTGCGTGGGGCGTGTCCGGTGCGGGGGCGTGCTCTAGCGCTTGGGGACGTGGCCGAGCGCTGCGTGGGGCGTGTGTGGTGCGGGGGGCGTGTCTTAGCTTGGGGGCGTGCCGGGGTTCGGGTGGGCGGGCGAGGCTGGGCGGGGAGTGTCCGGTGCGGGGGCGTGGCCGAGCGCTGCGTGGGGCGTGTGTGGTGCGGGGGCGTGTCCTAGGTGGGGGCGTGACCAGGGTTCTGCTTGGGGCGGGGCCGAGCGCTGGGGAGCGTGTCCGGGCCCTGGGGGCGTGCCCCAGCGCTTGGGGGCGTGGCCGAGCGCTGCGTGGGGCGTGTGTGTTGGCGGGGCGTGTCTTAGCTATTGGGGGCGTGGCCGGGGTTCTGGGTGGGGGCGTGGCCGAGCGCTGGGCGGGGAGTGTCCGGTGCGGGGGCGTGCCCCAGCGCTTGGGGGCGTGGCCGAGCGCTGCGTGGGGCGTGTGTGGTGCGGGGGCGTGTCCTAGGTGGGGGCGTGGCCAGGGTTCTGCTTGGGGCGGGGCCGAGCGCTTGGGAGCGCGTCCGGGCCCTGGGTGGGGGCGTGGCCGAGCGCTGCGTGGGGCGTGTCCGTAGCGAGTACGTGCGTTCGTACGAGCGTGCGTGCTGCGCGTCGTGCGCGTCCGGCGTCGGCGTCAGCCCGTCCCTCCCAGCGCGCGCGGGCGGAGGACGGGGAAGACGCAGGGAGGGCCGCGTCGGCGGCAGGTGGACGGCGGCGGCCATGTCGCCTTTGTCCGCGGCGCGGGCGGCCCTGCTGGTCTACGCGGTCGGAGCGGCGGTGCTGGTGGCGCAGCTGGTGCGGCGGTGCCTCGGGGGCTTCCTGGAGCCAGGTCAGCACCGGGGCGGGGGACGCGGGGACCCGGAAGGGGCGGGGGAGGTGGGGGGGGCGCCGTGACCTTGGCGGGGCGGGGTGGGGGAGGGGCTCGCGCTACGGACCCCCATGCCCCTCCCCCAGGCCGAGGACGGGGTGTCGCCTCCCCTCCCCCACCCCACCAGCACCCCGCGTCCCGCCTTTGACCGGGGGTGGGGGAGGGGCGCCCCCAAATCTTAACTTCCTGCTCCGAACCCCGGCGAGCGAGGCGGAAGGAGGAAGTCGGGGCGCCGCGGTGACCGTGGGAAGGGTGGGGGAGGGCGCGGTTTGGTTTCTGGCCTCCTTAAAAATTTTGTCACTGCGCCTTTGCTGTCACCTGTCGCCTTTCCTGTCCTAAGCGGGGTCTGAGGCCATGACAGGCGTTGTCATTGTCACCTTTGCTGTGTTCTGCCCTAAGCCGAGCCATTGCAGGCTTTGTCACTTGTCCTGTCCTTAGCAGGGCCCAGGGCCACCAGGGACGTTGTCACTGTCACTTGTCTGTGTCCCGTCCTCAGCAGAGCCATTGCAGGCTTTGTCACTTGTCCTGTCACTTGTCCTGTCCTTAGGGCTCAGGGCCACCAGGGACGTTGTCACTGTCACCCTGCTGAGCCCTGACCTGTTTCCTGAGCATGGTGCAGGCCCTTAGCGACATTGTCACTGTCACAGAGCTGTCACCCCCCCCGCCTGGACTTGCAGGGTTTTTGAGGCACTTAGAGGACTTCGGGGTGCGTCAGGGGCTACTGATGGCCCCAGAGAGTTGAGGGGTGATGGTTACTTGTGTCCAAAGTGAAACAGTGTCTGGAGGGAGAAAATCACACTGTGCTGGACACCACCAGTGGCTCACGCCTGTAATCCCAGCTACTCAGCAGGCAGAGATCAGGAGCATCGCAGTTCAAGGCCAGCCCTGGGCAAACAGTTCTGGAGACCCTATCTCAAAAAACCCAATGCAGGAAAGGGCTGGCAGAGTGGCTCAAGGTGAAAGCCCTGTGTTCAAACCCCAATCCCACAAAAAAAAAAAAAAAAAAAAAAGGAGAGAGGCCTGCCTTGCTGAATTTGCTGGGACAGGTCCCTCAGCTGGGTGACGATCCGTTAGTTTGCGGGCAGAAGGCTGAGAACTGAACTGCAGCTGAGCGAGAGCGGGAACCAGACGCCACGTTTCCAGAACAGAGCTGCTGCTGCATTTGACGGATCAGGAGAAGCAGGGTGGCCGGGGTGGTTTCTGTGCGCCTTGCTTGTTTGATCAGCTGCTTGTATTTCAGCCACTTTGCGTCTGTGGGATTGGGACCACGGGTGTGCTGCTGGCACGTCCCGCAGTGACTTCAGTCCCCTCGCTCTGTCACCCTGTCCTGTCCTGTTCCCTTTGGTTTGCTTTTCACAGCTGGGATGGAGCCCAGGCTTTCGTCCTTCCCCAGGGGTTTGGTGAGGAAATAGGAACTTTGCCCAGGGCACAGAGCAGAGGAAAACCCCATGTGACTGCAGACGGAGCCACCGCCATTTTCACCCCTGGGGACCTCGAACTTGGACGTGAGCGTACGCAGGGCACACGTGACGTGCCTGCGATGTTGTTTTCCTCATGAACTTTAATGTGGCTACCCAGCGGACGGACAGGAACTTGTGTCTGGCGTCCCAGCTGTTTGGGAGGCTAAGACCTGGAGGATCTCACTGTGAGGTCAGCCCAGGGAAGGAAGTCTGCAGACCCGGTCTCCGAAACACCCAGCGCAAAGTGGACTGAGGTGGGGCCCAAGCTGATATTGTGTGTGTCTACAGTGCACAGCGCGATGTTTTCACGTACGTGTGCATTGTGCAGAAATTAAAGCCGATATATCTCCCCTATTTACCATTTTTTTTTTAACCATTCCTATACAGATACGTATGTTGTGTTATCTGCACAGGGAGAGTCTGAGAAGTAAAAAAAGTTGAAAGAGAAACTCAGAGCGTTTGCCGGCCTTACCTAAAAGTAGCGGTAATTTGGTGGAACTGGATTTTGGTCTCAGGGCGCCGTACCTCTTGAGCCACAGCTCCAGTCCATTTTGCTCTGGGTATCGCAGAGACCGGGTCTCGTGAACCACTGGCCCAAGCTGGCCTTGAACCACGGTCCTCCCAGCCTCAGCCTCCCAAGTAGCTGGGATTTCAGGCAAGACACACCATGCCGGTTTTCTTTCTTTTTTTTTTTTGCTTCTTTTTTTTGAAGACAGTAGCTGCTTTGTCCCAAACAATGTCCCAAGCAAGAAAGCATTGATGAGGAAAGCAGCCTGATTTGGGGCCACTTATCTCTTGGGGCATTCGTTCTGGTCCAACTTTGTGAACAGTGTGTGTGACACCAAGGTCACAGGTGTGGCCTTGGAGGAGTTGGGACGGGACAGGGCCGTGGAGGTCCTGGGGACTTGGGAGTAACCATTAAGAGTGGCCAGCCAGGGACAGGGACACCCAGGATCCCACCATGGTGGCACCATGCAGGGTGCCACTCCCCACCTGGCCTTGGTCCCGGGAAGCCTGGCAGGGCTCGTGGCTTCCATCACGTGGGTGCCTGCAGTGCTCACTGGGTGGGAGGCTGGGGGTCCAGCCGGGGGACTCTGGGGTGTCACTTGGTCAGGGTCAGGGGCTCCTGCTGGGAGGAGAAACCTCTTGGGGGGTCGGGGAGGCCCTGTGCGGATCAGCCAAACAATAATACGAAAATAAGTGAACGTGAGACCTTCTTGCAAGTGCCAGGGCTGCTGACAGACAAATGGACAGACAGACAGGGCACTGGGTGTTGAAGGAAGCAGATCCTCTGACCCTCCCTTGGGAAGTGCAGACCTGCTTGACCCGGCATGGCGTCCCCCAAAAACACCTCAGACAGGAGGTCAGCACTGCAGGCGCTGGCTGTCAGCAGGTCCCAGAGACTGGTTTTCCTCCATGTCTGTGCCTCCTCTCCTGTGTCTTGTGAGGACACTGCCGTTGCATTTAGGGCCACCCTCGTCCAGGGTGACCTCATCTCAAGATCCTTTATTCCATCCACAAAGACCCTATTTCCAAGTGAGTTCCCATGCTCAGATCCCAGGTGACACACTGAGCGGTGCGTCCCTTCAGTTCTATGGACTTGACCATATTCCAATATGGCGGCCTGGCCCAATGGTGTGGGTGACACGGCTGGTCCAGGATGACCTCATCTCAGGGACCCTTCATTCCACCTGCAAACACCCTATTTCCAAGTGAGGTCCCATTCTCAGGCCCCAGGTGAGACTTGCCCTCAGTTCTATGGATCTTGACCGTATTCCAATATGGCAGCCTGGCCCAATGGAGTGGGTGACACAGCTGGTCCAGGATGACCTCACTCAGGATCTTAAATTCCATATGCAAGGTGCCTACTTCCAGATGAGTCCCTGTTGTCAGGCGGATGTGATTTTTGGGGGGATGGATGGGACCCTTCAATCCACTGTGGTCACGTTTTAGGTTTAACGCCTTGGCTTTGACGGGTGCTCAGAACGCAGACGTTACGCGGTTGGTGCAACTTGATATTCACCCCGATTGCTGTTGGGAGCTTCTCGATGTAGCCAGCACGTTTTAAGGAAAGGTAGCTATTTTTCTGGAACCTTAGTGACAGCGATGTCCCCAAACAAGGACCTGGAGATGTGTGAGTTCAGGACCAGGCCCAGGAACCCTGGGGCCCGGTTTCCTGGTGACCAAAACCCTGTGAGCTCATTGACAGCCGGGCCCAGTAGCTCACACCTGTAATCTCAGCTGCTCAGGAGGTGGAGATCGGGAGGATCATGGTTTGAGGCCCGATCCTGTACCTGGTGAAAAAGTTAGTGAGAGACCCCATCTCAACCCACGAGCTGGGCGCGGTGGACGTGCATGTCACCAGGGAGACAGCTAGGGAGGATTGCTGTCCAGGCCGGTCCTGGGCACAACCGGGACAAGCTGTTTGAAAAATAGCTAAAGGCCTGGAGGTCTGGGGAGAGGCGCGAGTGAAATACCGCCTGCCTGGCAAGCACAAGGTCCTGAGTTCAAATCCCAGCAGAGGCAGAAAATACGGCTGGGTGCCGTTGGCGCCTGTGCCCAGCAGCAGTGCCATTTCGGCCCCCGGGCCGTGAGTCTGGAGCTGTGGGGCGTTTGTCCAGGTCTGTGCTCACTGTGAGGTTTGGGGCGATTTGGTGACTGTGCGGGTCGTGCTTGCTGCTTGTGGGGGTGACCTCCTCTGAGTCGGTGCCATTCTCCCTGGTCCCCCTGCCGGGTACCGGGCGTCCATCCCGGGGCCGTGGACGCCCACGGGGACGCACAGGCCCCAAGGGTCCCCAGTGCCTGCAGAGCGCTTGGGCGCACGCACACAGGTGTCACGGAGGCAGTGGCCGCACGGGGAGCCGCCAGCACCTCTGCCACCGCACACCCCCACCCGTTCTCACGCTGTCTGTCTCCTGCCTCTCAGCAGGTGCCCGCGCGTGAGCGCCCGCCTGCGCGCGACGGCGACATGGAGGCCAAAGGCGCGGACGGGGCCCGAGTGACCTGAAGCTGGTGGCACACCCGCGCGCCAAGAGCAAGGTGTGGCGCTACTTCGGCTTCGACACGGACGCCGAGGGCTGCATCCTGCAGTGGAAGCGCATCTACTGCCGCATCTGCATGGGGCAGATCGCCTACTCGGGAAACACGTCCAACCTGTCCTACCACCTGGAGAAGAACCACGCCGAGGAGTTCTGCGAGCTGGTCAAGAGCAACACCGAGCACATGCGCGAGGCCTTCGCCTCGGCCTTCTCCAAGCTCAAGGCCGACGCGCCCACCCCGCCGCCCGCGGCCGGCGACGCCCTGGACCCCCGTCGCCAGCAGGAGCTGACGGCCGCCGTGCTGGCCTTCGTGTGCGACGGCCTGCAGCCGGCGTCCGTGGTGGCCGAGCCCACGTTCCAGGCGCTGCTGCGGGCGGCCGAGCCCCGCTACGCGCTGCCCGGCCACCACTTCTTCTGCACCCAGGCCCTGCCCGACAGGTACGCGGCCGTGCGCGACACCGTCCTCAGGGAGCTGGCCGACGCGCCCTGGTGCGCCGTGTCCGCCGACGCGTGGGCCGGCCCCAACCAGGGCCGCAGGTACGTGACGCTGGCCGCTCACTTCCTGGCCACCGCGCCCGCGGGCGGCCTGGCGCTGTGGTCACGCTGCCTGAAGACGTTCGAGGTCCCGGAGGAGGAGGAGGAGGACGACGAGGACGCCGAGGCGGCAGCGGCAGAGACCGTCACCCGTGTCCTGTACGAGACGTTCGTGGAGTGGGGCCTGAGCGCCAAGGTGTTCGGGGCCACCACGGACGGCGGCCGCGACATGGCCAAGGCCTGCTGCCTGCTGGACGTCCCCGTGCACATGCCGTGCCTGGGCCACGCGCTGGACGCCGCCGTGCGCCAGGCCTTGAGGCTGCCCAAGCTGGCCGCCCTCCTGTCGCGCTGCCGCCGGCTGGTGCAGCACTTCCAGCGCTCGCCCGTGGCCGCCTTCGTCCTCTACGAGCAGCAGAAGCGGCGCCAGGCCGCGGCCACCATGCTGCTGAGTGACCGCCCGGCCGGCTGGGCCGCCTGCCTGGCCATGCTGCAGAGCCTCAAGCAGCACCGGGCGGCCATCGCCAGCGTCCTGCTGGAGGACAGCAGCGGCCATCATCTCATGCTGGAGGCGGCCGAGTGGGCCACGGTGGACGGCCTGCTGGACCTGCTGCAGCCCTTCCGCCAGGTGGCCGACGTGCTGTCCGCCTCGCGCTTCCCGGTCATCAGCATGGTCAAGCCGCTGCTGCACATGCTGCTGAGGACCACGCTGAAGCCCAAGGACGCCGACCCCAAGGAGATCAGCACGGCCAAGGAGGCCATCGCCAAGGAGCTGGCCAGGACCTACCAGGAGCCCCCCGGCGTGGACATGTTCCTCAACGTGGCCACCTTCCTGGACCCGCGCTACAAGCGCCTGCCCTTCCTGTCACCCTTCGAGCGCCAGCAGGTGGAGAACCGCGTGGTGGACGAGGCCAAGGGCTTGCTGGAGAGAGCCCGGCAGGACGCCTATGCCGGCGCCGCCGCCGCCGCCACCGAGGACAAGCTGTTCCCCGGGCCCGACGAGCCCCCCGCCAAGAAGGCCGCCGCGGCCACCAGCCCGTCCCCGCCGCCCGGGCCCAGCAGCGCCATCCACCACCTGCTGGCCGAGATCTTCTGCCCGGCGGGCGGCGGGGACGAGCAGGAGGAGTGGCACGCGCAGGTGCTGGAGGAGCTGAGCAGCTTCAAGTCGCAGAAGGTCCTCGGGCTGCACGAGGACCCGCTCAAGTGGTGGAGCGAGCGCCTGGCGCTCTTCCCCGTGCTGCCCCGTGTCCTGCACAAGTACTGGTGCGTGGCGGCCACCCGCGTGCGGCCCCAGCGCCTCTTCAGCTCCGCCGCCGGCGTGGTCAGCGCCAAGAGGAACCGGCTGGCCCCCGCGCTCGTGCACCAGCAGGTCTTCCTCTACGAGAACGCCAGGCGGGACGGTGACCCCGAGCCCCAGGACGAGGACGAGGGCGAGTGGGGCCTGGACCCTGACCACGTGCTGTCCTCCCTGGGCGACGGCGGCCACGGTGGCTTCTTCGGGATAAATGACAGGGGCTTCCTCTAGGGACACGGCGCCGGGGCCTCTCGGCTGTGGGGCAGTCAACGGGTGGCCTTGAACGACAGAGCGCGTCCGGGGTCCTGGACACCAGGTCCTGGAAGCGGGGACTCTTCTCTGCAGACAGGGAAAACGGACGCTCCTCCCTGGGGCCGGAAGACAAGTCAGGCCCTTGAGCGGCTCGGTGACGGTGCGGGGGCCCCGGGGTGACCGCAGCTGGGACCGTGGCCAACGTCCCCCTGACGAACGGCATCCCACGCCGGCCACGGCCAGGCCGTTCCCCGAAGTTTGTGTTTGCCTGCGGTCTGCACAGAACGAGAACCCCGACCGGCCATGGACGTGGTCCCGTCTGTCCGGGAACCGCTCCCGACTCTCGACGATTTAATTGAACCGGGACTCTTGCTTCTGCAGCCCTGGGTGACAACCTCGCCTCACGGTGTCCTCTCCCAAAATCGTTCCTGGGGCGCCAGCTTTTGCAGATGAGCACGTCGCGGGTTTTCTTCCTTCGGTGTCCGAGGTGGCTTCCTCGTTTTTTGGGGGGAGACCGTGTGGCCCGGGCTGACCTTGAACTTGGGATTCTCGGGTGTGCTTCAGCCTCACAAATGCTGGCTGGGATTACAGGCGTCTGCTGCCCTGCCCGGCTCTTTCCTTTGGGACCGCAGTGCCTGTTCGTCTCAGAGGCCGAGGACATCTTCCTCCGTGATGGCCCCAGCATTGGACTGGAAAACCTAAGCATTTTCATGGCTGCCAGCTGCACGCCCAGAGCCCTGTGCTTTTTAAAAATAAAGTGTGTGAGGAACCGAGGTGTCGCGGTCTTTGTTTCTTCATGCGCTGCCCCATCGCCCAGCCAGCCGCGTCTGCGTGCCACGCCGTGTCCCTTTTCTCGGTCGCTGCCCCGACTGCCCCGTTGTTTTTGTCGGTCACTTAACGCGCTGAGGTTGGAGAGGAGCGGTCGCTCCCGAGCTTCGCTGCGCCCACCGCCACTCTCCGTACGCTTCTGCTCGCTTTTGCTGGGGAGGAAATGAGACGTGAAGGGGTCACTTTCCTTCATAACGTCCCTCTTACGTCTGTGTCCTGAGTTCTTGGAAACCTTAGCAAAGTTCCTTCTCGGCCCTGCAGGAGTTCAGCTGGGCTGCGTGCTCCCGGGTTGACCTGGAGCACAGTTTCTGTTTAGACGGCAAGGATTGCATGGGGGGGGTGGGGAAGAAACCCTTTAGTTTGTTTCCTTCGAGTTTGAATTCGGAGCTGCAGTCACTGCTCAGTGTAGAACACCTGCTCCAGTGCTCAAAGTCCCAAGTTTGCAAAAACAACGAGAAAGAAACGCTGGGATTTGAACTCACAGCCTGGCACTTGCTAGGCAGCTGCTGCAGCCCTTGAGCCATGTCTGCAGCCCGCTTTTAAAAATTAGTTATTTTTTCTCATCCGGTCTCGGTTTCGGGCCTGCTGTGTAGCCGGGGTGACAGGCTGCACCACCACGATCGGCTCTGATGCTGAGATGGGGTGTCACTTTTTGAGTGTCGAGCCTCCGGACCTCTGCGTCCCCAGCAGCTGAGCTTACAGGGGTGAGCTCAGCACCGCACCTGGGGGCGACGCCTGTGCTTGCGTCTGTTTTCATTCCGTGCCTGCTGCCGCCTTGCGTGTCTGAGCTGGGAAATCCTCAGAGCCGTTCACGCCGGGAACGGAGCCTTTTCCGCGTGCCAGTTACTGCTCCTTCGTCTGTCTGTCTGTCCGTCTTCTGGCCATCTGTGTGGCACGGAATTGTATCTCCTTAACCGTCCTTTTCTGTGTTTTCGGGGCGCTCACCGCAGTAGAGAGAGGTGGATGTGCATCAGAGAGAGGAGAGAGGAAAGGAGGGATTTTGTGTTAGGCCTGGGACGGCCCGGTCCCCTCAGTTCTTCCACCAACATTTCAGTGTGGATGACGGTCGGCAGTGCCACCTGACGTGGAGGTTGAGATGGGGTCTCACTAAGTGACTGCTTGGGGTGGCCTCGAATCTCGATGCGCCTGGCGTCCCTGTCCTGACTGGCCGGGATTACAGGCGTGAGCCACGGCACTGTCGCATGGCTTCTCAGCCAAGAGAACACCAGGAAAGAGCAGGTTGGACGTTGGCAGGTCCAGAAAGCTGGAGTCACCGCTGGCCGCGACTTGTGTCTCTGTCTGTGGGTGTCGGGGACCTCAGCGAGGGGCACGGGATGGGGCCGGGGCGCCATGGCAGCTGCTTCTGGCAAGGCTGGCGGCAGAGCTGCAGTGACCACATTTGGTGTCAGCTGAGTGTGGAGGGCGGGGGCTCAGGGTCCCATCTTGGAGCCACTAGCATGTCTGGCTGGGGGCGATGACTGGGATGTCCTCCCTGCCTCTCAGGTCCTTTGTCCTACCCAGATCCCGCTCTTTCCGGGTCCATCTCTTGTTCTCTCTCTCTCCCTCCCGCTCTTCCCCCTCCCTCTCTCTCTCTCTGTCTCTCTCCCCATCTCTCTCCCTCTCTATCTCACTATCCCAGCTCTCTTTCTCTCCCTTTTTCTCTTTCTCACCCTCCCTCCTCTCTCTCCTCCTCCCCCCTTTCTATCTCCATCTCTATTTCCTTCTCTGTCCTCCCACCCCCTCCCTCCCTCTCCCCCCTCCCTCCTCCTCTCCCTCCCTCCCCCCAAGAGTCCCCCCCCACCGCTTCCCCCCCCCGTGCGGACCCCTCCCGCCAGCCGACTCCCCGAGGGGCGGGGCCGGGCGTGGAGCGCACGCCTGCCATCCCGGCGCTCGAAGCCCCGAGTTCGAATCCCAGCCGCCGCTCGACTTTAAAACTCGACACCCGCGGGCGTGTGGCTTCACCGCTTCCCCTCCCGTGTCCTCAGTCTTCCAGCCGCAGCCGGACCGCGTGGCCATCGTGACCGGAGGGACAGACGGCATCGGACTCGCCACCGCCAAGCACCTGGCCCGGCTGCGCATGCGCGTCGTCATAGGTGACGTGTCCGCGTCCCCGCCCCGCTCGTGCCGTGCGCAGCGCAGGACTGAGCGCAGGGTTTCCCGCACAAAGCCGGGCAGTCGCAGGCACAGAAGTGACACCCCAGCGCGTGTCACTGCATCACCTGTGTCTGTCACTGCGCCAGACAGCAGCAGGGACTGCCCGGCTCCCCAACCCCACAGCAATGGCGCAGCCTTGCAGGACCACTGTCCTGGAGGCCCAGTGACGTCACTTCCGCCAGGGGCCCCGCCCCCCAAGCCTCCCAGCCCATCAGCTATGCATCCGCCTATCTCCTAGTCGGCCACGCCCCAGTGACGTCACGTCCGGCACCACGCCCACGCCTCCTAAAGGCTCTGCCTCCTCCCAGAAACCCTTTCACCTATGCCTCGTCCTTCTTCCCTTCCAGGCCACGCCCCCATGACATCACCTCCACTAGGCCCCACCTCTTAAAGGTCCCACCACCTCGCAGCCACAGCAGCACCAGAGGACCAAGACTTCAACACATGGGCGTTTGCGGACATTCCTGCCCTTCAGTCTTTCTATCAGATGCCCCAGAGCTGAGATCAGCAGGCAGTTTGGGGTTCAGTGCACCCCCAAAGTGTAAAAGCCAATACACCCAGTCAGGGCTAGGTGTCAGTGACTGATCCTGTGTCAGAATTTCTCAGCGTCACCCCTTGTCACACATCTCCACGCCTGTAATCCCAGCTGCCCTGCAGTGGCTCAGGCAGGACGGCCGCGAGTTCAAAGCCCGCCTGGCCTACGTCTCAAGAATTACCAGAGAACAGGGGAGAAGACAGTTGTAGTTCTCTCAGGCTGCAGAGAACTCTGATGCTTCTTCCTTTAATTTTCCTTTCAGCGGCAAACAACGAGACCAAAGCCCAGGAGGTCGTCCGCCAAATCAAAGAAGAAACCCTGAATGACAAAGGTAATGGTGGCCCCGTTGCAGCTTTTGTCCGTGTGGTGGGGGGGCAGGGGGTCAGGTGTGCAATGGCTGGTGACATCATACACCAAGGGACATTTGCCCAAGGCATCTTTCCTTCTTGCACTTGTCTTCTGGGAATGACGACTGGCCCGTAAGGAAGCCAGCCTGGACTTCTCCTCGCCATTGGGATTACAGGCACGCCCAACCACGCCCGGCTCATGTCTTGAGTTGGGGTCTCGCTGACTTTGTGCCTGAGCCGACCTCAAAGTGCGATCCTCCAGATCTCTGCCTCCTGAGCAGCTGGTCAAGGGCAGCTTTTGAGTTAAGATGAATCTGATCTGAGTCAGCTTGGTACAAAGACTTGCCGTAGAGAACACCGGGCTTGTGCAAAACGAGGAAGGTATTTTGTCCGACGTTCTTCAGACGTTCGCTTTTTTGTGTTTCGTGTCAGAGGTTCAGAGCACGATCTTTTCAGAGGGAGAGAAACGGTCCCTGACTTTGGATGGTTTCAGTGGTGAGTTCAGTTTCAGTTTTGATGCTTTCCAGTGAGGATGAGTTTATCTGACTGTAACCCCATCTTAAGTACGGGGCAGATGTAGCCATGTGAGAGTATAATCAATGCAACCAAAGTACCCCTCGCCGCCGTTCTGCTCTCAAATCCGATGACATCAGCTTCTTTTAAATTTCACGTGCGTGACATCCTGCGGAATTTGTCCTCCTGTGCCTGGCTGATTTCACGTTGCATAATATTCCACGAATAACCGACTTCGTCCTCTTCGTGGCTGTATAATACTCCGTTTCGTAGTTGTTAGTTGTGCCCCATTTCCTTTATCTGGTCCTTTTGGATGGAGGTCTACTGGGAGAAGTGAGGTCATTGGGGGCGTGGCCGTGAGGGGAGATTGATGGGTTCATAGCCCAATGGGTTACTGGGAGGTGATGGATCTTGTCAGAGGCTTAGTGTCAGGAAGTGATGTCATTGGGGACGTGGCCTTGAGGGGAGATTGACAGATGCGTGGCTTAGTGAGCTACTGGGAGGTAGTGTAGTCTTTAGGGGGTGGGACCTAGAGGGAGGACGTGATGTCATTGGGGGCGTGGCCTTGAAGGGAGATTGATGGATGCGTGGCTTAATGAGCTACTAGGAGGTAGTGTAGTCTTTAGGGGGCGGGACCTAGAGAGAGGACGTGATGTCATTGGGGCGTGGCCATGAGGGGAGATTGATGGATGCGTGGCTTAATGAGCTACTGGGAGGTACTGTAGTGTTTAGGGGGTGGGACCTAAAGGGAGGAAATGATGTCATTGGGGCGTTGCTTAATGACCTACTGGGAGGTAGTGTAGTCTTTAGGGGTGGGACCTAGAGGGAGGAAGTGATGTCATTGGGGGCAGGTGCGAGCTTGTTTCTGAAGCTGCAGCTAAGGTTTGTGCAGAAGGACCACCAGTGAGCCCAGGGTGGCAGGAGTCCTTAGTACGTAGTTGCGTAGGTGGCCGAGGTGGGATGACAGACAACTCTGTGCCTCAGAACAATAGCACGAGTGGCAGTAGGACCCAGGGTGTCATGGATAAGGGCCTGTGAGAATTGTACTCATGGTTTGGACCTGGGATGTCCCCAGAGGCTCCTGTGTGGACGGTGCGGTCCCCAAGGCAGCAGGGTCACAGGTGGGGACTTTGGGAGGTGAGGGGAGCAGGAGGGGCCTGACCTCATCAGTGGATTCATCCATTGATTGACTAATAGATGAATGGACTGATCCATTGATGGACCCATGGCTGAATGGACTGATCCATTGATGGACCCATGGCTGAATGGACTGATCCATTGATGGACCCATGGCTGAATGAACTGATCCATTGATGGAGTCATACTGAATGGATTCATCCATGGATGGACTCACAGCTGATGGACTCATGGCTGAGGGGGTTGATCGATGGGCTCATACCCCAGTGAGCCTCCAGGTTCTTGTGGGATTTGTAGAAGTTGGGGTGTAATTGGGGGGTTTGGTGATGGAGCATCACACTATGTGCGGTGTCTGGGTGGGGATGTGGAGGCGTCCATGTGTCTGTCTTCTGGGGATCAATGTGGAATGCAGGGAAAAGTCCATAGAAAGTAGAGGACGCCATGCTGAAGGAAGGAAGGAAGGAAACGGCAGCTGCTCCCAGTCGCCCGCCATGGTGCTGGGCACAGGGACGTGGCCATGGAAGGGTTTGAGCTTGATATGGGGGTGACAGTGGAGTGGGGTGCAGTGACTGGAAGGAGAGAAAGAAGGAAGGAAGGAAGTACGGAAGGAGAGAGGGAGGTGAGGAAAACCAAGGCAGTGACCCAGTTTTGTCTTTGAGCCGAGGAACTTGATGTGACAGTAGAAGGAGGTGACAGTTGCACAGCTGTGTCAGGCACAAAATCTCACAGAACTGTTAAAAAATTTTAAAAACGAACCATCTGAGCAGCTGACTCCAAAATGGCAGACTTGCATTCTGCGCGATTTTACCGTAATTGAAAAACAAGAACAATGTCACTCCGTCCTCAGAGCCCCAGGCGTGCTGGGCTCCACGCTGGGCACCGTGGGCGACCACTGACCCTATAGTGACACTGTGATAGCCCCGGTGTCACAGATTGTCACAGACGGACGTCCTGTGTCCTCTCAGTCATAAACAGAGCCCTGGAACGAGAACCAGCTGGTGTGCTGATTTTCCCAGTTGCTGTCCGTCTGTCTGACAAATGTGAAGTCGCCATGTCTGTAAACTCTAGAAAACATAGAAGTGACTCTAACTGTGACCTCAACACTGAAGCTGACCCTAGGAACCACTTAGACAACATGGCAACCAGTGGGGTGGCACGGGTGACAGCAGTTCCCGTTACCCATGGGGCCAATCTGGTGTGACAGCAATGCCCACGGGAGAGGTGACAGAATGTTCTAGAATGAAGGATAGGTCACCTCCCTGTGATGGATGAAGGAA